CGGCTTTGCAGGCATGCGAGGTCAATGGTCGAACCACTACGGCATGCACGGCTATGAGTACCCACACACACACACACCCCTTTGCTAAACACTGCAGTCTACGGTGCGTGCACCCCCGCTCACCGCCAGCTCAGCAACCGTGGTCTTGGCCGCGTTCACAATTCTCTGGTTTTCCGCCCGCTGCTTGAGCTGCTCCTTGGCCTCAGCGAACGCCGCCGACACCTTGTCCAGCTGTTCCTTCAGCTCCTTGGCGGTTTCCTTGGATCTAGCGATCTGTGCCTCGTACCGCACCACAGGCTCCGGAAGGCTGTCCATGTACCCCTTTTTTTTTCAGTCCCCCCGGGAGTTCCATCCAGAGTTGGCGTGAAAAAGTGTTTTGGGTGAAAGGGGGGGAGGAGGATTCGAAAGGGCGTCGAGACAACGTTATACGCGCAGTCGGGGTTCCAGAGTTGGCGTGAAAAACTGTTGGGTGAAAGGGGGGGAGGAGGATTCGAAAGGGCATTGAGACAACGTTATACGCGCAGTCGGGGTTCCAGAGTTGGCGTGAAAAAGTGTTGGGTGAAAGGGGGGGAGGAGGATTCGAAAGGGCGTTGAGACAACGTTATACGCGCAGTCGGGGTTCCAGAGGCGGGAATAAAGTGTTGGGTGAAAACGGGGGGCGTACTCATATTTGCAAGCCCTAACTGGTCGGCCAATGACCACGCGTCCTCGAGAATGGAGCATTCTAGGCAGAGGGTTGAGAGAAAGATTCGAACAAAAGTAGAAAGAAACGTTGGGAGATCATTACACGCGCAGCTGGGGTTCCAGAGTTGGCAAAAAGAGTCGAAGGTGAAGACGGGGGTGAAGGGAAGAATAAGATTCGAATCATTCCAAAAGGGGTGGATGGAGCGAGAACGTTCGTTGCACACGCCTCTTCGTGAGCAGTCTGCCTGCCTCTAGCATTAGGCTTTACACGGTGACAGCCAAGTATTCTACATCTCTCCTCATCCTCGAGAAGACAATAATGGAGTATCCAGCAGATGGCATTCACTCAATGCTCGTTGTACTGTACACAAGTCAAGTTTCTTCCTCCGAGAATCGTATCGAAACGTACGTAGTCTCTCTGTGTCATGTAATGTTCGACTTGTTGCTCTATTCATGATAAAACTACTGCTGTATCGGTAAACGGACTTAAGCGTGCGTGTGTGTGTGTTTGTCCCATCTATCCATTCTGGCTGCCAGTGTTCACTCCTCTCGGTGTCCAAGTTTGGCGTATCAGCCGGGGTCACAGGAGATTCTATACATTTTACCACGTTTCCTCCAGCGGTGGTACATACAGCATGTGGTGTACGAATTGTACGAATTACTTGACACAATTTCTAGAATCTCTAGAATCTCTAGAATCGCGCCGCCGACAAAAATAAATGAATTCGTAATGTCCCCCCCACCTTTGTCATGGCACCCGAGGTAAATTCCACCACCTCGAGGAACTCCTCTCCCACAGAGCTCGCCATCTTTGCCGGCACGTCTGTGCTCGCAGCTACGGTGCTGACCACTTCGAACGCGCCGAGGGCAAACTCGCCGAACTTCGCGGCCGATTGCCCAATCGTGCCCTCCTGCGCCAAAAGCCCTACCGCTGCCAGACAGCCTGCGAAAAAAAAAGACGATTGGTGGAGTTTTATTGGGTGTGCGAGGCAAGAAGAGGGACTATAATACGACGTTTCTCGGCGCCCGCACGGCGGTGTAAGAAGCATGATCTACGAGGGTGGAGATTTCTTCGAATGTTCGGAAATAATTTATTTTCGGCGAGAGAGCCCTTTCCGAACATCTTGCTTGGTGGTCCCGAAAGCTCCACGAGCTCCCAGCAGGTTGCACAAGATACCGTACCCCCTGGATGGATGGTAATGCTCCATTACTCCACGACAAAAAAGAAAAAATGCCACAGCAGCCAAAAGGATGTGTCTTCGGCAAGCCGTCGACGAGGCTGTTCCAACGCCGCCATTTTCGGCGGCACCGCACTACTGCTGCAGAGTAGTTCAGCGTAGAAACCGGTGTAGGGGGGGTCATGTCTCATGCAACCTACGGTGCCCCCCAGAGACACCCAGCGCTGCTCCCGCCCATGTCCCTAAAGAGAATCACTAACAGGCAACTTCTCGGCGGGAAAAATGTTCCGATATTTCTTGGTAGTCAAACCCGACGCTAACCTAACGTCCATTATAGTTGTAAAAGTCAACGAAGCGCATTGTCCGAAAAATGCTACTGGTAGTTTTTTTTATTGTTGCGTGTGAGCTGTCTTTGTGGGTGCGAAACGAAACAGATTCAAGGACGGTGCGGTGCTCAATACTATACTCGTTTTGCCTGCTCTTCCAGAGGCAACGAAGAGGAAAATTTCCGTCATGCACATACCGGTCGGCGCCAGAGTATGTAGTTCGGATGAACACACACATAGTCTATACGTGTACGAGTAATCAACAAATCAAGCAGGTACATCAGCACATTCGCTCACATTTAGCCAGCTACGACAGATGCTGTTCCCCGTTTTGGGCAGGCGTGGCAGGAGGGGTGGGTGTAGAATGCCTCAGGGAGAGAAACAATCTGTCTGTGTGAGCACGGATTGGAGCTGATACCCAGCAGCAAACTCTGATTTGTTGTTGTTCGTTGATGTTGTCGTCTTCACATCAATAACCGTTCCGGTCTCCACTCAGTACCTTCCAACATCCGTCCTGGTCTACATGAAGCGCACGCCTTCCGTGGTCACAAGCCACCTACCCAAAAACCTGATTTAGAGTGAGCATAAAAAAACGAACACACCAACAAAAAGTGACCCGTGGTTTGTGGTTGTTTTCTGAAAGCACATCGCCGAAAAGAGAAAAAAAATACTAATTAAGGAATAATAAAAACACACACAGAAAGACTACATGTACCCATTCGAGATATACCCACAGTCGAACTAATCATACTGTAAATGAAGAGAAGAAAATCAGTTTACCTGCAAACATCCCTATCATGTCCAGCCCTAGGGAGTGCCCCAAGCTCCACCCCACGATCGCCCCCGTCGCCCCCGTCGCCGCCAGCACGCCCGCGTCCTTCCTCTTGTCAGCGGTGACCACCTCCACTTCTGCCGCGGGGTCCCCGTATTCCTCCGATTCCTCGTCCTCGCCGCTCATCTTCAGCGCTGATGATGCGGCCAGAGCCGCTCTGCGCCGGCTCATGCCGATGGCACTCCCGCTACTGCTCCTGCTTCTGCTGCTGCTGCCATCGCTGTTAGGGTGGATATGGTTTGCGGGCAAAATTGAGGACTCTTTTACGCGACGCCGTTGGTTGTGTACGCATGCGCGCTGGTTGCCATTTATTCAGCGCACGGTCCCGGTGCAAGCGTAGGTATGCTAAAATAGGTGTAGCCTATATAACGCAGATGTTGATGAAGCTCTGCGTAACATGTATTTAGCATCAAGTGTTGAATCTGTGGAATTTCGGGTGTTCGGGATAGGGTCTACGTAACTCCTGCCTCTGCTGTACTTCATGCTTAGATAGGCGTAATGCCTTCGCGGTAGGCAGCCCCACACACGTGCATGAGAGAACAGCACTAAAGACAAGAGCGTGTGCACCAGACACATGTTCCAGGAGGGAAGCCTCCTACTGGAAGATCTATTTCCAACAGATTCTAAGAGTGAAGAAAATGGTATGCAGGGCGGCGGTGACAATACCCCATGTGTCGGTGTGTGGTGTAGGACGAGAGAGAGATGTGTGGCGGCGGTACAACTGCAATCCTTCTTGACGGAAGCATGCGCGCACACAGCACACGGGCGGTGTGCAGAAATTATTATTGTTCGATGACAACATGTGTGGAGTAGCCAAGGTTTTCCCGCATTTTTTTAGGCCCGTCCATCCATGTTGGTACAGCAGCAGCAGCAGCAGTCGGGGGGACGCTGCAAATTTGTGCGAAGCGGAGCGTGCCCCCAAGACTGCCGAACTAACAAGGCCACACGAGTCCTTGTGTCGCACAGGTCGGGTCCAACAAATAACACGAGCTTGTGGGCTACTGCTGTAGGACCCCCTCACGCTGCTGAGCCTAACTTCATACTGCACACACGGGGTCGCAGGAGGAGCCAATTCTAGATAGCTCCGAAGAAACATGACGTTCGTTGGAAACAGCGGTAGTAACCTAGTAACACTCCTTTGCTCTGCCCCTCTGGCGACTGCTATGCCCCGCCCGCACCTGTTTCTCTTGACTGCTGGCGTCGACAGCGGTACGCGCTTCGCAGACGATGCCTCGGGAATCGACGGTCCAACGAAAGCTTGCACTGATGGACTCAACCCCAGGACGACAACCCCCAGGGAGACTCGCCGACCCCGCATCTTCAATAGTCCTCGTTCGTCACGACTCACGTTCTTGCACAATCTACCTCCGAGCCCACTCGGCAGCACGCCCTTGGCTGGCACAAGGTGCAGATCGTGGGGCGCCCTAAGCCGTTCGCGCGTGTGTGAATGTCGCTCTCTCAAGCTCGGCTGCTGGGCTGGCGCCGGTCGCTGGTCGGTTGAAACATGGATCTAGGGGATTCCGCCGTTGTCAGAACGGTTCACATGGGGTGTGCTAACATCCCGCGCTAGAGATTTCGCGGAGCCACCAACTACACTGGCTCTCTCTGACGCGGATGATACGATTCTTGTTGAGCAGTGGCCAAAATCGGGTACACCTGGTCAGAACACGGCCATAATCGGGTACCCCTACAAGACGCTGCTGGGAGCGACCGCATATGCCACCATCTGATTGGCCGGCGCCCGCCCCTACCCGGCCTTGGCCGTCTTTCCACCGGGTGCACCCGATCTTGGCTACTCATCCCCCCGGAGGGGTACCCGGTTTTTCTTTCCCCTACCCGAAAATGTCTGGGCTGTTCGACCAAAACCCATGCACACAATCACGGGTCGGACGCACACCACCGGCCCTCGTTTGTCACCAATGAGCAAGTAGCGGGAGGGAGAGAATATATCTAATTCTTAAATGAGTCCCGTGTGTGTCGCATCTCGTGAGGGAGGGATTCATCCAGCTCTTCTTCTCGATCATTTGCACAGACAGACCGCCAGCCGTTTCCCCCAAGGGAGACTGCCACCGCCGGCGGAGGGTCTGCCTCCGCCCGGCGGGCGGTCAGAACGTCCGAATTTTCGAGGGCAGGGCGTTGCTGACGTGTACTTGTGTGCATGGGTTTTGGTCGAACAGCCCAGACATTTTCCGGTAGGGGAAAGAAAAACCGGGTACCCCTGCCTCCAGGGGATGGGTAACCAAGATCGGGTGCACCCGGTGGAAAGACGGCCAAGGCCGGGTAGGGGCGGGCGCCGGCCAATCAGATGGTGGCATGCGGTCGCTCCCAGCAGCGTCTTGTAGGGGTACCCGATTATGGCCGTGTTCTGACCGGGTGTACCCGATTTTGGCCACTGCTCATTCTTGTTTCTTGTCTGACTGAGCTTCATGTCTCTTTTTATCTCTTGGCGCGTCCGGCTGTCCGTAAAGGGACAGGTGGCGCGGCCATGCGTGATACTTAATACATCTGCTCTTGCTTGTTCAAACGCCGTTTCAACTTTTGTCCGCAAATGCATGGGCCGGGGGAAGCATGTATGTCATGTGTATTTTGGGGAACTCGTCATTGTTGTTTCGGAAGCTGTGTCTGTTGTATGAAACCGTCGCTTGCCGTCGTGTGCAGATGTCATTGCCATACTGTATTGCTTACTCGTCCTGCTTTGGTCTTGCGTCTCTCCGAGCCACAGGGTCGCACGAAGAAGGATAAATAATGTACTCTGCGGTGCCCACATCATTTCTGTATCGCCAGAAAGAAGACGGATGCACAGCAGTTTCTTCCCTGATCATGTACAATACACCCAACAAACACAGCAGTAGACATCGCGAACATGGGAACAACAACCGGTAATTTACCCACTGTCAGTTACACGAAACACCGTGAAACGTGTCGGGACGAGATTTCGACATCTTCCACCTACATTATTAGCCGCAGCCTACCGGTACACTAAGCGCGGTACAGCATAGGCCACCGGGGCGACCAGGCAAACTATGCTGGTTGGTACGAAATAATCTGGAGTGTGGCCAGTCAAGCTCAGACTACTCTAAGCGGACACAGACGCACTGGCAAGAGGTACCGTGAGAAACAAAGAAACATCATCGGGGTTTCCCACGCGATCCCCTACCGTCCAGTTTCACAGCTCAGAGCGATGAGCTGTGATGTCAGAGCCAGCAAACGATGAAAAATGAAAAACAGCATGTCGCCTGGTTGGACAGAGCGGAACGAAACTGAGCGGCAGAAGATATATATGCGATCGCCGTGACATCTATGTAGGTTATTCTTGTGCACGACCAACACCTTGTGCCACAGAAGCACCAGCAAAAATGCCGACCCTTGACGTAGGTACTCGTTTGAAAAGGCGGCAAAGCTGAGCAACCCCTCCGCCGTTCAGCGGGATTTGAACTTGGGTGGGCTACATCGCGGTCACGGCCCATGACTTGTCAAAATAGCACGGGTTTAACATACACCCTTCACCAGCACATTGTTAAAACGTCAATACGTATCGAGCAAGCACGGATCAGCTATGTCTGGGCTGATTCAGGAACACGCTGGCAATAATCAAGGCCAAGGCGAGCAAGAACGGCTTGCTGGTCACCAGCCGCACCGTCCACGACAACCTACTCCGCCCCGTCAAGCCTCCCCTGCTCGCTGCCGCCGGCGCCTCCCCCACTCCCACCGCCACCCGTCCCTCTCGCCGAGCCCCCGCCGACCCATCATCCCCCGCACCCGCCTTCTTCCCCTTGTCGAAACCCTTTGGTATCGGAAACCTATCCTCCGGGAACGCGTGGTGGCAGCACCCGCAGGCGGCGCACACAAAGCTGCGCGACTTGACGGCCGCTTTTCGCTTCTGGGACGGCGTTGCGCCCCTGACGGCGCCGATCTCGACCGCGGCCTCCGTCATGTGGGCCACCAGCGCCGACACCAGTGATGCCACTGTCCAGGAAGGCTGCCAGGTCTCTTGGTGGTACTCGCTGGCGGAGAGACATATTCGCGAGCCGACCTTGCCATACCGTTTTCCCAAGTTTTTGGTAGAGTTTGTTCGGGGGGGGGCGGAATGGAACCGAGAGACACGCAGGAACAGAAGCGGAGGGAGGGCGGCATTGGCTTTGGAACAAGCAAGCTCGCGCGCAAAAATATGTTGGGGCGATCGATGATAGATAGTGCGCATCCGCTATGTAGCGAGGGGCCATGTTGTGTGCCCAATTGTGTACTTGAGTATCATGTTTTCGGCTACCCTTATCATAGACCGTGGTACGAAACAATATAGCATGTTGGTCCTGAGACTTTCAGCCCAAACGATGCCCTATTCGATACGACCCGCGGTAACAACACAGCAAAACATTTTGGAAAGTATGCAAGAAAACATTCAACCGACCTTGAAACGCATGTTGGTATTAAGCAGCCGGACGGACGGGCCAGACTGCGGATAGTTCTCGGGCAGGGAGATGCTCCCATGGTAGAGTCCGCCTTCGAACGGCGAGTCCTTGGCGCCCAGGAAGGTGAAGTGCCACTCGAACATGTTCCCCACCGGCTGGTGTTCATATGGTACAGGCAGGCAGGGCAAACGCACAAGGGCAGCGTAGGGAAAAAGTAAGGCTGGGGTTGGCGGGCAGGGGCAAACGTACAAGAGCAGCGTAGGGAAAGGCCGGTGTTGGCAAAACACAAGAGCAGAGTAGGGAAAAATAAGGCTGGTGTTAGCAAGCAGGGGCAAAACATACAACAACAGCGTAGGGAAAATAAGGCTGGTGTTCGCAAAACACAAAGGCAGAGCAGGGAAGAATAAGGCCCATGTTGGCAAACAGGGGTAAAACACAACGGTAGCGTAGGGAGAACTAAGGCTGGTGTTGCAAGCAAGGATACACACACAAGAGCAGCGTGGGGAAAAAAAACGCTGGTGTGTACAGCACGTTCATGGAAGCTCACTCTTCGAAACAGGGATCGGTGCATATCCGCGTGCCACGGACTGTTTGTATCAACCGGGGGTAGTATTCTCGGTATTCTCTAGGAGGTGGGTGACGTCTGAAAATTATGATATTGTGATATCGTGATATTTTTTTTGATCGTGTGTGGGCTCTCGCTGTTCAGCAGTTGGGGTACCCGGCGGTCGGCATGATACACGGAGCCTCATGTGTGATCTGATGATTGGGGAGTTGGGGTTCACAGTGCCTTCGGCTCTCATACACACCTCTACATGGGCTCTGTGCATGTCAAACATGACTAATGCTCAGGTTAAGGGAAGCGTGTCTTTGTCTCCACACGGATCGGTTGCTACTGTAGGTTGTTACCGTCTGGTCACCCGCTGAACATCTAACGACACATACTCCACACAAAGCAAGGCGGGATTTTACGGGTTGAATGTTAGCGGCTATCCCCTATCTAGACTGCCTACTGCTGTGGTCTAGGGGATAGCCTATCCCCTCTAACCACAAAATACATCTGACGCGGTAGCCAACACTCCAGAAATTAGGCTCTATCCCTATCCCCCTCTAAACTAACATTGAATCTGACATGGTAGGCTGCAGCCTAGCAATAAGGCTCTCTCGCGCACCTTCAATCGAAACGTTTCGCTTGAGTTTCCTTTGGAACTCGAACGGCCCTCCCCCATGGCTAGCCCGTCCGCTTGCACCTGCTTCCACTCGCTCATGATGCGTCTCATGGAAGGACTGTTCTGGGACAACACGTGACTGGGCGGCAGAGAGGGGCGGTACTCATGTTCTGCATCCCTTAGAAGTAGACCATAACCGGGGGTGGAAGCGCGGCATTTCGCAGCAACAACAGTTGACCCGCGGACATTCTTTTGGCATGATGGATGGGATCGGGAGGCAAAACCCGAGTCTGCAGCAACATCTCTGTCGTTGTACGAGATCCTGTGTTTTATGTATGCGTTGTATTCCCCATAGGCAGCGTAAGATACGTCCGTCAAACGTACTTCAATCATACATCTCCAGAACTCAAATATATTCCAAGGGACGCTCTGGGAACGCGTGCTGGCGAGAGCGTCAAGTCCTATGGAAATTAACATCGTATGCATACACATCACAAATGATACTCTTGGTTCTAATAAAACACAAGTATGGGTACAATGGAGTAGATCGCCGAAGACTGGTACGCAGCAGAGGCGTGGAAAAGTACCGGAGATCGAGAGACACGACTCGGAGATCAAGAGATATGAGTTCCACTTTTGACATGCGGGTGGGCACAACAATAGAGCAAAGTGATGTTGGACACGGAAGCCACACGGACGCAAGGTTGTTGCTCGACAGCACCACCGAGAGTAAACGAAACGCAGGGTTCATGAAGTACAGCAACCGCTTCGTGCTCTACCGAGGGACCGTACAGCAGTGTAACCGTTTCATGGACAGCACGGTGCGCGGTACCGTAGGTGACGTAAGATACCACACCCCCTGCGCCCATTATCAAAGCTCGACTACTCCACGACGAAGAGGATGTAAAAAGCAAATGATATGTTTTGGGAAAGCTCTCCACGAGCCGGTTCCAACGCCACCATTCTCAACGCCACCAATCTTTGTTGCGGTGGGGTGTAGTCGAGCTTGGAAAAATTGGTCCAAACGGGGTGTGATTGTATCTGATGTCACCCGTAGGTATCTGCTAAGAGAGAGAGAGCGGTCCAAAACGCATGTTGTACAACGTTCGTGTGTGTGTGCCGCACGACGACATTTGCCCCAAAAGTACCAACATGCAGAACCCACGTTGCCCGGTATGCGGTATGCGAGCAGCGGTTATTGGCCCTCTCGATACAGCACCTCAAGCATCGCGGATGATGCTGCTGGATATGGGTATGGCGAGAACGACGCCGTCCGTAATCTCTCCGCGTGAAATACACCACCTGCTGTATTTATGTTTAAACTCACCTCGACCGTCTTGCCGAGGAACACGCCATGCCCATCAACAAAACGAGAGCCCACCATCGCCTCAGCAAGCTACATCGTTCGCGCGCCATCATGCCGTGTGTGTGTAAAAATGCTGCACGCCTGCAGCAGGGCGTACACAGCTGGGAACTATTGTCTAAGATAGGGGGGGGGGGGCAGGCGACTAAAACAGATGACCAGAGGGCACTCCAAAACCCAACGGCCGAACTGTGCTTTTCAAAAAAACACCTACACAGACACGAGCG